GACTAAAGGAGAGGCAGGGATGGAGGCTGCATGACAAAGGTTGACATTTGTGCATAGGAGGATAATTGAGGACATTAATGTTGCAGCAGGAACTGCTGGGCGCTTAAGTCTGTGTGTTTGTGTTCAGCAGTATTAAATTAAGAATGCCTTAAGCTGGTGGGCTGACAGATTTCCTCCCGCACCGCGTGGGACCCCCCTCCTTGCCTGTTCGGGCAATAAATAATCAAATGAGAATAATTTCCTCCCAATTGTTGTCTCGTTTAGTGTAAATGCATCCTCTGAGGCCTGCATGTGATTCAGCCCCTCTCTCTGTTGGTCTCTGCTTTATATCTGCCATGTAATTGACGGCAGCAAAAACAAGGCTTTCTTTTTTCATTACAACTGACAAGCGGCAGTGATGCCCTGCGACAGCGGGTACACACACTGCATTGATGCCTTTTCCCTAATTGAAACGATACACAACCAAACTCAGAAATGCGTAACGTGCAATAGTTGCTTGCCTTTTAGATAACAATATGTAAGGTGGTGATTTAGTTTGTGGCAAAACAACGTCCCGCTCCATATAACATGCCACAGCTTGTAGGTCCATAAGGCAGCAGCAGGTTCTTTGAAATGGTAATGATATCGTTTGAAAGTCCTGCTCTGTGGAGCCTGCACATCATCAGGCTCTTGTGGGGGTGGACGAGAGGAGAGAGTGGAGGGAGGGCGGGGGGTGGGGTTCGCTGCCTGTTAAAGCAGCAGAGCAGAAAGAGCTGAAGATGAACTCCAGCCTGGTGTGCATGTGTGCTTGGATGTGGTAGAAGACCAGTTAGTCACTTTTCAGTGTGGTACGCCGCCCAATGAACTAATGACCAGATTAAAGGAAAAAAAAACACCTGGAAATGTGGATGGATTCAAGTGCAGTACCTATATGGCGTATAATGATGCATTTAGAGGGAGCAGTAAGTGCTTTGATATCAGTTGCTAGACTGTCATCACTGGTTTACCCACAACAGTGCTGTCAAACACTAATGTCAAGATCATAAGGCCAAAACTTTTTTACCTGGCCTTCAGTTTTACCTGCATGAATCTCCCTAAACTGTGAACAGGAGAGACGTAGACGAGGGATTTGGAACTTTTGTGAATTTTGTTCTTTTTGAGACTCAACACCCTGAGACATGATTTGACTTGAAGCTGGAGAACAAACACAATAAACCCCAGAACAATATAAAATAAATAATACAGAGTTGAGCAGGACTTTACAGCCACACATGTTGAATATTTTAAATATTAAGCCCATACATTGAATGCTTGGTCTCATGATTGATGAATCTGCGGATTGTTTTATTTTTATAAATTGGTTGATCATTTGATCGTTTGTTGCAACAAACTGAATAGCTCTCCTCTCACTCCTCCCTTTTCGAGGCTACAATAACGTGACCAGCTGGATGCAAAATAGTGTTGACGCCATTCGCTTGGCTCAGAGGCCATACTTTCCCTAAAAACAACTTAAGGAGCAACGGAAGTCAGCCTACGGTGGCCTTCGGGTAGCGTAAAGCAAAAGTTTGTCCGTTCTGAGCTACTGTAGAAACATGGCAGTGCAACATGAACACGCTTCCTAAGGGTTCATTCTACGGTGATTATACACTAATGAAAACATGAACATAATGAACATTATATTCCATTTCTGCCAATAGATCTCCTGAAATACAACGAATTGTACCTTTAGCATAAACTAATATATAACTAAACAGTGTTATCGCAGCTTTGAAATAATACAAATTGCCAAATAGTGTTCCATTTTAATGGTCAGCATTCAGAGACATGAAAGACTTGCAATGTGCTTATGAAGACTTTTGTCTTGCCTATAGGACAAGATTCCAGTCTTGCTTGCAGTCCCACCAAACACAACTTTGCAAATCTAGATCATTAAATGAAAATCTAGATATTTAAGTGCTTTCTTATCTGACAAACTGTCTGATGTATGATCCCTGAATGCATTTGCACTTGTTAATTAAAGAGAAGGGCAGGTTTAGGCTCAATGTAAACATTTTGGGGAAATGACTTGGTGAGTTAAGGTCGCCATGCGATTGTGACCCCAGTCTGATGGATCTCCTTCTCTTCTTCTGCTGGCTCAACACGTGAGAGCTCTGATTTCCATTAGTAAAGAGGACATACACAGCCTCCCTCCCGATCGCTCTGCACACATACACTTTCTGTGACTCTCTCTCTCTCTCAGACACACACACACACACACACACACACACACTGTTTTATTCCCTCCTTAGTAAGCAACAATTCTGCGCCCATGACTGGTCAGCACTTATGTTGCTACTTCCTTTGCCGAGTTTACACAAAAGTGTTAAAGTGACCTGCATCTCAACGCACACACACACACACACACATTGTGCAATATGAATTATTGAGTGTGTTATTTGAGGGACAGCTGGCTCTTGAACACATTAACTCCCTCAGTCAGAGAGCCACTCGTAAGTCAGTGGTGACGGTAACGAGTCACTAAGCAGGAGAGAAGAGGGAAATGGCAGAACGTTAATGCAATTTCACACCGACTTCAGCATCAGTAGGCATTGGAATTATTTATATAAGCTCTCAAGTCAATTAATACGAGGATTAATCTCCTAACCAGAAAGACAATATGAAGTTATTTTTATTAGACTGAATACAATCATAGGCTGCAAACAGAGGCGTCTGAGAGACATTTGAATAAAGCTTATATGTTTATGATAAAGCCACTTGTGAATTGATTGTTCTGACTCGAGCTCTTGCACTGCATCATGTATTGCATAATGTTTTCTTTCTATCGCGGCACCGAAGCTGCTTAATCGACTCAAATCCTTAAATTCTGTACATACATTTCTTCAAGCTTCCACAGCTCGATGGAGATGAAGTGATCCAAAAGTACAGATATTTGAATGAGTGTTCTTTATTATAATCTAATCCAATGAGAGGCTTTACGTGGGAAAAGAGAGAAGAACCCTGCTTGTATTTTTCACATTCACAACCGTCACCGCACATCCCCTCTAAGCCTCACTGCCGGTGGTCCTGCTGTGTCCCTCCCAATGTGCACACCTGCGTCTCATGAGCACGTGTGTGTGTGTGCGGTGTGTGTGTGTGTGTGTGTGTGTGTGTGTGTGTGTGTGCGGTGTGTGTGATGCCTCCCACCCCTGTTGGTAAATTTGGGTTCCTTCCTTCCAGCACCACTGGGTGAAAGCAGGGTGCAGCCTTTGGGTCCCCACGTTCCTCTCCACAGGTGTTCCTATCCTGCCCTCAGATACTGTATGTTATGTGTGTGTGTGTGTGTGTGTGTGTGTGTGTGTGTGTGTCTCTCTCTACTTATTTTACCTGACAAAAAAAGTCTTTCTCATTGCCTTTCATTGTCTCACTCTTTACTCTTAAATAAAGCCCCTCTTGGAGCTGAGACATCTCCATGGTAACAAGGGCCAATGGAGGAAAGTAGAGTCGGCCTGAAGATGGGGAACAAGGAGAAGGCAAAGTTTGGGAACAAACACCAACATGTTCAAAAACAATCAGGCTTTTGACTCACACTGCTCAGATATAAGGGGTTCATTACACCATTGGATGTTCAGAATGTCTGCAATCACCCTTTAACTTCCACAGCACCAGCATGAACTGTAAAAGGTAGTGCACTGTGTAGTGGGGTTTAAATGAGCCGTGTGGTGACTGGGAGGTAAATGTCATCGGTTTTTCAGCCGGAAACCTTCACCGCAAGAATGTGACAACGGGATACTGAGTAAATCAATATGGAAGCCGGGGGGGGGGGGGGGTTGAAGGAGGGGGGTAAAGAGAGAGAGGGAAGCTACCGCGGGTGAAAACCTAAATGACAGCAGGAAAAGGAGGAGAAGAAGCAGAAGAAAAGGAGGTGAAGAAGCAGACGAAAAGGAGGGGAAGGAGGGAGAGAAGACTTTGAGAGGAGTTAACTGCTCTTCCTGTCTGGCATTTAACAGATATTTAGTAAACGTCTCTCAAACAGAAATAAAAAGTGCATTTGTTTGGAAGCATTTTCAGAGGCGGATTAATAGACATTTGGTGTGTGTGTGTGTGTGTGTGTGGGTATTTACAGAAGCAGGATGGTGCGTGTGGCATCAACTCAAAATATACTACAGCCCCCATGTTCATCGTGATGAAACAACACGTCACGTGGCTCGTTGTTGTTAATGGATTTTGGACGACAATGAAGTTAGTTTTGGTCATTTCATGGGATTGTTTAAAAAGTTATAGAATATCGTCAGACCTAAATCACACACATACATGTACAACACATAGTGGTACCAAGGTATGCAGATAAAAACAAATAAAAAAATGACATTTGAACAAATCCAGATGAATAAAACCCAAACTATTTGCATGGCAAGAGGCCAGTATGTGTAAGTGGGAAAATGTATTGTCTGTGATTTGGATGAAGTGACTTTACAGTGTAGTGTCGCAAAAAAGTGCACACTTTGCCTTTGCACACACCCATGCACGCACACAAAGTGGTGACATTTCTCACTCCTGAATAGAAAGCCATTTAGCCTGACTCACAGAGAAGAGCGGACACAAAAGCAACAACAACAAAAAGAGAGAGCGAGATATTGAGTGGGAGGGAGACTCTTAATATTGTGGAGAGTAAGACACATTAAAAAGGATTAAACACACAACTTGAAAACCATACATACAAATATAGTTAATGTTTCTGTTGAGGATGAACAACAGATAAATAAAGTCGATCAGATTATCCAGATTTATTGGAGTATTATAGTCCGTATTTTAGATTTGGTAGACAGAGGAAACATGTTTGACATTCCTGTTTCTTCTGAAAGTCAACAAACAGATGAATCAACGCTTCGATCAAAAATCAAACTGGGCTTTGTATGAAAATAAAGTCAATTCACTGCATTGTGTGGGTAGGCAAATGCACTAATTATAAAATCCTTCATCTGCTATCTCAGGAGACATTTGTGTGTGTGTGTGTGTGTGTGTGTGTGCGTGTGTGCGTGTGTGTGCGTGCGTGTGTGTGTGTGTGTGTGTGCGTGTGTGTGTGAGGTGAGGGTGGGGGTAAAACAGAAGGGAGGGCAGAGAGATAAATTACATCTGTTTTGGGTCAGCAAAAAAACTTTGTAGCCGTACTTAAAGAGGCAGTAATGTGGCTGCCAGCAGGCAATACACTTCAGTAGGCCTATCGTTCACACACACACACACACACACACACACACACACACACACACACACACACACACACACAATCTACATATACAGTATGCAAAGATATCATCTCATCAACCCAGCTCTGCATTAACTACAGATCACATATGATTTATCGTGCACACACACACACATACCTGTGCACTATCCCAGCTCTCATCTCCTCCCCTGCAGAGCTTTAAACGCCCAAGATCATCAAAGATCGCCCCGATATCTACATGATAACAATATCAATTATCACAGTATCACGTTGAATCAGTTTACATTCCCTCAGTCGACAGAGAGTGAATGCAAATGAAGATGCAGATCAGCGGTTTCAAAGTGCCAGGGGGTCTTATCTGTATCTAAAGTAGCAGTGCACGTTGGACTGCGGGGCAACACCGCCACTCAGTGGTTTATACAGGAGCTGCGTGCACACACACACACACACACACACACACACACACACACACACACCAAAGTGGGGCAGGTTGGAGAGAAGGTTGTGCAAGGTGACATCTCAGAGGAGTTAAGCAGCCTAGGGCATGTCTCAACCCAAGCATGAATCGTGTAATTGAGCCACACTCTTCAATTTATCCGTTCTTCACACAATATTTCCTCACTCAAACAGGAGTTTCACGATCACTTGAAACGTTTCACGTTATAACAGGATAAATAGTAGCATATTCAAATCTTACAACGTATGATGTAATGTCACACGGTGGAAATATCTTGTTATAACAATAAACCGTTCACGTTATAATGTGATACTGATCTGTTTTTTTAATTTTCTGGCGTGGCAGCAACACGCTGAAAAGTGATGTTTTGAGTTTCTACATATAGAAAGCTAATTTAGGGGTTTAGGACTGCAAAGATCTGAAAAATCTCTCTGCTAAATTAGTCACAAAAGTAACAAATGTGGACAAAGAAGTTGTATTTTTTTGCAATCAAACTTTAAGTCATTCAAATATATATATTTTTATGAGCATATTTTTTCCCCATTCACTATTATTTTGTGGCTGGTTTCACCCTTTCCTCAAACATTCTCTCAGTTTTGACTGCGAGACACACAGACCAAGCCTGAAAGGTTGTTTTGAACTTTGTTTGAGCAGGCTGATGTGCTCTTACATCTGGCTGTGATCCGTGACAACAGACCTCTTTTCAGAGAAAAGCTGGAAAGTGAAAAAGGTCTCTGATGATAGGACCAGAGTTTGCAGACAGACACTTTATTTGGGTTTTGTTCCAAAAGAATCTGCTTTTTAATGTTGCTAAATGAATGAATTGGGGTTTTCTTCTATCGTGACTATTGGATCTATAGACATTTCCTTTATTTCAGCTAATTTGAAATTTAAAATGTTGAATACAATGTTTATTATTTGATGCATCAATAGAGAAAAACGAATACCAGAAAAACCTCATATTTCCAAATAAGAAAGTACTATTTTAGTTTCAATGTCACTCCAAAATGAAACTTTATCAAGACCACCGGGCTCTTCTATGCCCTGCACTGGGGCATTTCTGAACGCTTCAACAGCTAAAAACAAAAAGACAACTGAGGACATATTGAGGACACACCATAAGCACCTTGCAGGTGGAGCAGGACAGGAGGGCTTTAGAGACCCTGAGTGTCACTGAGGGAAACAGACACTTTGAAACCTGTCAATTACTCTTTTCACGTCAACACAGCCGAGTACAGCCGGAAGGATAACTTCACCTTCACCTAATCCATCTGGAATGAGAATGTGCTTTTCATCCAGGAAATAGTCAGAGAATAAAAGCTGGCTGAGCCACTGCAGCCTACAGCTGTTAACCACAGTGGAAGAGGTCACATTGTGTGAAACAGGCCCTAGATTTTTAATTGGAATTGCCTGAAGAAACAGAAGTGCCTTCTGCAAGAGGTAAGCACATTCAAGCCCTGAACGCCAAAGACGAAAGAAGCACTACCCTTCACGTTATAAATAATACAGTAACAACATGAGGGGAAAGTGCAGGAGAAACTATAAAAGGATCCAAAGGGAATAAAACGAGCTGTGTGTGTTTGAACTGGATGGATCCTGATTGAATACATGCAGTGTTCTTTTGTCAGTATCAGTAGTTGAGTGTGTTTTATCACACGTGTTAAATCTTTCTGTTTCAGTGTTTTCTTCTGTTACAGCATCCATATCTGCTCTGAATCAGGTATTTTCCTCTGAGACAAAATCACAACATAAAAGGTAGAATGGTATATTTGGTTTTGTGATAGCGCCCCATGTGGTAATTAAACACTTACTACCATTCTGAATGTGTTTCTTAATGTTGAAATACTCTTTTAACAGTCTGCCTGTAAAACATATTATTATTAAAATAACATCTGTTGCTTAAAGAAAGGATTTTAACTGGAGTTCCCTTGTTGCGCTTGTTTTTCCTGATAAAGGTAAACCAAATTTACAAAAATGTTATTAACGGTTATATTTGTCAATATTTTACTGTCAATTATTCTATATTTACAGACAAATAATTCATTGGCCTAGTATTGTTCTTGTGTTGTACAAAAATACAATAAATGCAATAATACACGAGCGACCAAAAGAAAGTGCAACGGGGAAAAGTGCACTGGTAAAGATAGCGAGCTTTAATTAATTAGCTAATGTTAGTCAGCTGTGGTCAATTGAACAACTAAAGTTACCTGCTAAAGCCATTTTGGTTAGTAGTTAAATACCGGTGTGGTTCTCACTCTCCAATGCTTCTGCTTCAGGTAACTCACTACATTAGCTTCCAGTCGTGTGCTTCGTCTGGTTTGAACTTCATAACTATTTTCTATATTCACAGTATTACTGTTACGCTCTGTTGACCACAGTGTCCGTCATTCAGCGAAGGTTAACGTGAGCTGCATCTTGTTTTTAATAACATATATTCGGGCAGTGTTTCTCAAACTGCAGGAATATGGAGACACAGTCAATGGCTCTCTAATGTGAGTCTCATGCACAGACACACGTATGCTACATAATCAATACACTGTAGTTCATACTGTAGACAAACAGACCGTTAAAATGGGATTTCTGTGATTTACTGCTTTTATATCTGATTCCACTGATTGGCTTTCAACCTGAAATGTGTCTGGAGCTCCAGTGTTTGCTGTGGACACAAGGGGGCAGCGGAGTCCCTCATATCTTCTTAATTTGCAGCTTGGCAACACTAATGGAAACCCCTCTGTCTCTTCTCTCAGCCTTGCTGTCTCTTTTAGTCTTTGCTTTCCTCTTTCCTCTTCGCTCTCCCCATCTTTAGAACACAATACTGCACACTTTGTTGTTTTGTCTATTTATTGAGGATTAGAAACATGAAAAACATACCAAAAAAAAAGCCTGTGAAAACACGAAATAATCTTCCACAAAATATTTATACAAACAATTGATAATACTAAGGCTAATGACGTAAACCTATATGAATCCTTAATTGAACAATATCCTCAGCAGTCGCTGACGTTGGCACCATGCTAGGAGAGCATATTCACATGTAGTGGTTCATTTTGTGCTTGTGTGAGCAGTAACCTGAGCTTTGAGAGGTTATTATTATTATTATTTACAAGAAGGTGTGAGTGTTTGGCTGCAGCAACTACGCGATGTTGTATGCGTGTATTTCGGTGCATCCATGTCTGGGTTTGAGAGATTGTGGTGTAGGCAGTTGTCCCAGTTCTAGTTTTCTGGCTCCATTGACCAACACCAGGTGACCTGCTCCTCCTCTAGGTACAAACGTGAGGAGGCAGGGTGCAAAGATGGATGATAGATGGATGGATAATCTATATATCACTAATTTAAAAAAAGTTAGAGCCATGATGGACATATCACCGATTAGATTCGATTAAGACAGATGTTTGTGCGTGTGAACGTATGAGGCTGGGTGGAGAGCCAGGTCAAGAGAGTGGTGGCAGAGATCGGGTGCTGACCGGGCTGTACTTCACCCTGGATGGGGATGGAGGAGGTTGGTTGAGGTGAGGGGAGGAGGGTGATGGACGTAGGTGTCCACTCTGGTACTCTCTCCCGGTCCGAGAGCACTCTGATCCGGGACCTTGCAACCGACCTCTGGGCCTGCGTAACTGAGGTGGGGTGGAGGAGGAGGAGGTGGGCATGCACTTGTACTGAGAGGGCGGGTGATGGGAAGACGGATGGCAGGTGGGGGAAGAATAGCCAATAGGAGTAGAGTGATGACTGGGTGAGGGGTGAAGGCTAGGTGAGGAGCGCTTCCCAGACAAGGGTTCATGGTTACTGGGTGGGTGTTCCTTGGTGTGTTTGGGTGATTTGGGCGACTTGGGCACCTTGGCAGACTTGGGCGTCTTGGGTGTTTTGGGCGATTTAGGTATTGGCTGAGAGGAGTTGGCACTGCGAGTGTGAGGGGCTTGGCTGGGAGAGGCGGAGTCTCCAGTGTCGGCAACCTTGTACAGGAAGACGTCGTACTGAAGAGGCGAGCTGGTCTCTGAGTGGAGCTTGGCCTCTTTGGGGAGGAGCACTTGCAGGCCAATAGTGACTTCATCCTGATGTGGAAATATGGCAAGTAGAGAAGGATGGAACAATGTAGGAACAGTCACGGAGGCCAAAATGAAGAAATCAAAAAATATCAAAAGAAATACAGGCATGGATGAATTATGAGACAATAAATCCCTGGGCACAGACACATTATCTTAAATCTGCAACAACTGATTTGTTAGCCACTTGGGGGCAGGGTAAACACGCTGTGAAGACAACACTGACATGTTATCGCCTTATAAGTTAAAACGACAATACTTGCCTATTTACACATCCAGCAAATGGAGCAACAGCAGCATTCATTTGGAGTTGTGTTTGTGGCCATTGAATGAATGTAAGTCCAATACTCACTCGCCAATTAGCTCTGTTTATTTGGTCTCCACTAAATGTCATGTTTTCCTTATTGTTTTCTCAGCAACAACACTAAGGTTTTAAGTAAAAAGCGAGCTTGAAATATTAATGTTCTGAGAGGGAGAATTAAAAAAAGAGTTATATTTCAAGCTCCTGTGGTGGCTTCCATTCATTTTGGAGAGCTGTCCATGGTGCTGAATGGGCACACGGTAACCATTGTTTGCGTGGTGTAATCTGTGACCAGCCTACTGTAGCACAAAAGCAGGGTCAGCGGTGCAGTCAGTTATTATTAGCAGGGGAGCAGTTTGGGCAGCAGTTAGCTTCATCGTGAGCAGACATGCAGAGAAAGAGAGAGCGAGAAGGAAAGTAGAGCTCATAGCAACACACAGGGACAAGCTGGGTAAAATTAAAAAGATTTATTCCAACAACTGTGAACTATAATCCTCCATACCCAAAAAAGTACAAAAGAACCTCAAGTACATTAAAGTATTATAAATCACATTAAAAACCAAGACACAGTGTGTGTAATATATGTATATGGTTCAAATATCAACTCCAAGCAATTATTTTGACCTCATATAATCTAGACGCATCCACTTATTAGCAATGTCAAACATGAATAGTTCGCAAATACAGATTCACTTGATTTCCACTTACTTCTTTTGCAAATATTACGTTTTCAGACACTTCGTCAATAACAACAATGCATGCGGGCAGAGAGAGAGAGACAGTAAGGCGGGGCAGGCAGAGGCGGGGGGGTTGGGGAAACAGAAGAGGAGACAATGAAGGAGCGAGAGTTCATTGGCCGAAGACCAAGGCAGGGCATCAGTAGAGAGGAAAGTAAGTCATTAGTTGGTCCAAGCCAGAGATTTTAGTCCAGTTTAAGAGGCGATAGAAGGGAAGAAAGGAGGCGCCACTATCTGATCAGCATCGGCATGGCAGCCATGTAAACAGGACTATTGTGCTTCTCAAGTTGTATCCTTAAATTCATGTTGTGCTTGTTTTTGACATTATGGCCTGATTGGACTGTTAAAAATACACAGTATGCACTTTGCAACAATATATAAGAATTTGCTTTAGTTTGTGTGCTCGTTTAATATTTTGGTCTGATTCTCCAGCAGCACAGTTTGACGTATGCTGATATTAAACCAAGTTGTTTTGGAGCGAGTTTACCTCGGCATTTTCCTCGGTGTTGTTGGGGGTGTGGGCCTGGTCGGGGACAACAGAGGTTGGACGGTTGTTCTCGTGTTTGGGGGAATGAGAGTTGAGGATATTCATCGACCCCTCCTCCTTGGCTTGTGAGGACTTTGCCGGGTATTCCTGCTTCTGAGGGTCTTCCTGTGAGGAGTTTAATACTTCGTTATATATACCTCGCACTCACATGTACAAACGCACCTGAATACACACACGCAGGACACATAGGACATATGGAAGTAGATGTTCTGCAAAGTACGTCAGCTCCTTGTGTTTGCATGTTTTGGTGTGTGTGCACCTGAGGGAGTCTGTGCGACGCCTGAAATGCTTTTCTGCATGTCTCTCTTGAAGACTTAATAGCTTTCCCACCATGATTCCTTTTTGTATAATCTGTTGTATATGAAATGTGTATTACACATCTTTTAAACGGATGGGGTAACATTTCTTGACATGTCCAATTCACTGGACTAGGACATCATTTAATAGGAAACCACTCTAGTTGTAGTTCTAACAAAGCTTGCACAAAATAGAATAATTGCATGGACTTCTGTGGTGCATTATACCCTCAAAGGTAAGCCCCTGGTCAAAGGGTGAAAAGAAGAGGCTGGCTACAGCATGTGTAATGAAGGAAGCACATGGGAGTCTGCACTCTGCACCCTTCCCTGATAATAGAAATATAAATGACAAGGACATACCAGAGGCACGGGTCATGCTGGGTTCTTCTTCCTTATGCTAGAGATGATAATTGTTGAGCTGATTCGGGTCACTGTATGGGCTGGTACTGCAGCTGTATGCTTAGCCTTTTATTTAATCAACCAATCAGGCCTCAGCATTAGTAAAATAAATACCAATCGGACCTCTGACATTTAAAAAACTGCATTGCAGGCCAAGCGTCTGCAGGGGCTTTTAACCTCTAGACCTGACATTTAGAGCACCCAGAAGTCACAAACACATCTATAACCACTGCACTTAAATGCCAGCGGAGCTCTGAGAGCAGAGTTATTATTCAAAAAGCAAGTCACAATTTGTTCACTTCATTTAGCCCAGCCAGGTATTGCTAATGGTCTGCAAATGAATATACGCTTTTGAAAATCCATCTGTCTGTGCTTTGTGTTTGCATGCAATAAGCATAAGAGCTGTGTTTGTCTATGACTATAAAACTATTGTGTACGTCTGCATGTGTCAGCTTGTAAATGACCAAGTCAACGATTGATTGGCATGTCACAGACATCTGAAGGTCACAGGAACAGCAGACAGTAAGTAGGGCACCATCGATCGGTCACACTGGCTACATACTAAACGGCCGCTCACACCAGAGACAACAAGTTCACAAAGCTTAAAGCTCTGGGAGCTAAATGGTTTTGTCCTGTTCTGACATTATATGCTGTGTGTGGTTAATCTCTGTTTATATCTGCCTCTGTTAAGACGATTTGCCAATGTTTACTGAGATTGAGAATTTAAGCATGCATCAGTAACCCTATAAACTGTGTTGGCTTAGTAACCCAACTGGGTGACTGTTGAATACCACAGCAGGGGCACAAAACCCCACGAACACACAAACATGGATAGAAATGAGTGCATCAATGCGTATGTATTCATATTCACAGACACACACACACACATGCCTCTATGTAACTCACGTTATAGAAGCACTACATGCATAACCTTTGGCAGAAGAAAAGGGGAAACCTGCAACACAGGGACCCTAAAATGGCTGTCTGAACTTCATCGGTGCAAGAGTGAAGCCTGGAGTTAAAACAAAATGGAGGCCCAGCTTTTTTAATAAAGCTTCCCAGGAAGCTGTGAAGGCACAGAGGCAGAACATGTGGGAGCTAGCTATTTAATCACACACTATTGCAGGAAACCCTTGTGAGGAGGTGATTAATCATTTCTACCTACAGTGTACCTGGAATGCAGCTGATACAAGATCAGATGCAGAAAGAGTTTTGTGGAAGTGAGGTCTGCAGTAAATGGAGGGCCGTATCTGGTGTCTAGCAGTTGCACAGTGGGTTCAAAGCAAAGCCAGGAAGGGGAAATTGCTGTAGCGCAATGTGGACGTTTCCACTGTGCTTACCTGGAAGTGATTATAAGAGTTTCTGGGTTTATACTCCCAGGTGTAGCTGGTTGTTGATGGCCTCTGATGGGGGATAGCATTAAACACACACATACTATGCAGTTGAAATTGTTGGTGGAAATCCCATTTAACAGGGCACTTTACAAAGATGTGTGCACAACACTACGAGTTAGTTGGCGTGAGTACTGTGGGTAGGAACAGATAGATGGCCATGCATAGACACAGAAAGACAGAAATCAAATCACTATGTCAGCTGCCAGAGAGAAAACATAGGAGTGGATGTCATGAACAAAGAGGAATACAGATGGAGAATACAACAGACGGACAAACGGGAAATAAACCGTAGATGCAGATGATGGGACTGAAAAGTTAGACGAAGATGATGAACAGAGACGTTGAATGGAAGGAGAAAAAAAAGCAGAATAAACATGAGGAGAGTTGGGGCGTACCTGACAGATAATGTTGTCATAGTACGCCAGGTTGTGAGTGTGAGCTTGGGGAGCGATCGGAGGGGTGTCACACAGTTTCCTTACGTTTGGCTGCGAGCCGTCGGCCGTTGTGGAAACGGAGAGGCCGTCTGTCTGTGGCTCGCTGCTCTGTTGGCGGTACTTACTGCAGGACGGCAAAGACAGAGATGTTTGTGTCAGAAATATTTGCAGTTTATATTTGTTGGTTCATATTTTCCTGCGTTGCTCTGCACAGTTTGAAACTGGGGTTAAACCCTCTGGTAGACACATGTCATTCACAAAAATATATCGTCTCGTTCTGAGAACTTAAATAATTCAGTGGTTACCAAAGAGAATTAAATCCACTCTAAAGACTACATTGCAGCTGGTGACTACAAAATCTAATTTGATGGATTACATGGATTTCTCTCACTGTTCACTGCTTATCGACAATTGACTTCATCTCCATTTAACTCCATTCTCACCTCTCTCCCCCTTTACTGTTCCTATGCCCTCTTCATCATTTGAGTTCAACGTCCTTTCTCAGGTTGTAAGGCCTTACAGGAATTAGACTGATACACAGTCACAGCCACCTCTCTCACAACACATGATTTTACATTGTCACATACACACACACACACACACACACACCTGCGTTTGCGAAGGCGCTTGTTCTCAGTCTTGAGGCGGTGCAGCCTCTTGGCAAAGAATACGATGATCATGAAAAGGAAGATGACCACCAGGGAGGCCACGCCCACCACTGCACACATCACCTGGAACTCTGTGACCGCCCAATCACAGCGCATGCCTTTGTTCCAGATGTAGTCCTGCACATTGCACCTGGATGTGAAGCAACACAAAGGGGCAACATTGGCCTTTTTGATCAATGAAACGATCAGAAAAACATCACTAAATAACTTCCTCTCTGCTTACCTGCCGTGTAAAAAAAGCCAAGAGGTTTAAACCCACTGCACTATTGTATTTACTATATTTATAGCCACAGCATGTAAGCCTGAGTAAAGAGTGTAAAATGGTACTAAGAGCTGATGACATAGTGTCCTGAGGTCTGTCCAGCAAAGCAGGGATTCGGTCTGCAGCCTAGCCCTTAATGAGATCAAAGGATCAGCAAACGTGCGTGCATATGTGTGTGTGTGTGTGTGTCTTTTCCTTATTGAGTGTTTGAGCGTGTCTTTGAAGTGTGCGCGCATGAGTGAGTGTGAGTAAACGTGTGTGCGCTGTTACTCACCAGGTATTTGAGATGAGCAACAGTCTACCTCCAAGCTTACACGCAGTCTACTGGATAGAACAGATGGTGCTATCGAGGCGTGGTGTACGTGCTCGAGTGTGTGTCTGTGAATGTGCACAAGGAGTGTGTGTGTGTGTGTGCCTCCCTGACCTTACTGTATTGTCCTTATACTTTATATGTGTGTCTACATCAGCTGTCAACACACACACTCTTTACCCCACGCCGTCAAAACTGAGCTAATCCTTTGGCGACCCTGCTGTGATCTTCTCGAACCCTAACGACACATTAAGCCAACCTTCTATGTGCATGTCTGTGTTTTCGGTGTCTGTACGCTTGTCTGAAGTGTCCTCAATCTTTTCTTTTGTGTTGGAAAGGGAACATATTGGAAATCAACAAGACAATTAAAAAGGGGAATGTTTTTGCACCCAACAATCCCCCCCAAACACCCCTGCTGCCACTCACATACTGTACAGTACATACAGTACAAATAAAACAGCTGGTGAAATTAACACATTTTTTGTGTTTTTCTCACCTGCAGAAGGCTCCCATTCCTGCCACCACAGTGCACATTCCTCCATTGAAGCAGAAATTGGGTTTGATGTCACACTCAGACACACAAACCCCAGGTCCAGAGCGCACAAAGCCCAGTCTGCAGCCGTCGGCCCCCATGGCGCCACCCAAGCCTAACCCATCATCTTTGTCCTTCCCGGGCATGGGAATAGCTGGTGAGCTCTCTGTGCTAGTACTCATGTTGTCAGGAACAGCAGGAGAACTAGCCAGGAGTGGATTCTCGTCCTCCATTTCAGGTGGGAGTGAAGGCGTGGGCTCAGGTTCTGGAGTCGCGTCTAGCGCCGAGAGGTCGTCATCGGAGGACAGGTAGTCGTAAAAGTCAGAAAGCGTCCATGCAGTTGGGTCTCCTGCTTTTTGCTTCTGGGATTTGGGGGCTTTGGCCCAATCCAGAGCAACATCAGAGGGCAAAATATCCGGCGCAGGGCTGTGAAACTCCACGGTGATGACGTCATCGGACATGGGGTTTCCGGGCTGGTCTGGACCCGCCCCTCCAGCAGTGAGCTCCTCCCCCACAGGTGAGTCCTCCTCTTCAACGTCGAGGTGGGCGTGTTTGTGAGACTGGTGATGTTTGGTTGAGCTGAGTGGGAGTTTGGCCCCGACCCCTGCTCCAATCAGGTGGTCCAGCTCAGCAGAGTCATCGCTGAGCACCATCCTGGTGTTCAGGGCCTCTTTGTTCAAAGATGATTGGTTGTGGTGGTGATGATGGTGCCTGACCAGTGAATGCCTCCCTGTCAGTCAGACACACAAAAAAAGACATTAAAAAAGCAATTCCATAAAGTTGAGGGACTCACAAGAGTCAGATTAAACAAATTGTCCCAACCAGAGGCTGAAATCTCAACCATGGGTCAAGCTGCAAAAACACTTGATGCTACGCTTCCTATAATTCATCTTAATTGTGTCTTTTTTATCAGACTCTATCTACTTGGCTTACACAATCTATTTAAAGAAATTGTGTGACATTTTGGAATATACAGTGAGTTGCTTTTTTGCCAAGAGTTAGATGAGAACATTGATACAGCGATGACAGTGGTATTAATCTTCTCATCTAACTCACAAAAAGACGGGTAATTTCCCAAAATGTCAAACCAGTTTATAACACAGGCTTTTTAGTACTCCACATGACAGGTCAACTGACTTTGATGTGTAAATAATCGATTGACTCCCTTTTTAACATAATATTATTTTCAACACTGCATCAATGTTAGAGCACTGTGGGAGTTTGTCAAATTTGTTATTCTGTGTTATATAATCTTAATGTGGATGACAAAATTATAGACAAAGGCTTGTACATACACGCACGTATTTATAAGTGTGTATATATAGACTGTTCTTTTTTTTAATTGGAGCTAATCCCAAGGAGCTGACTGTGTTGTGTTTGCTAAAGATTGTGGCCCAAGGATGAGATATAAATAATTTAAATAGATCCCTACAGTTGTACTAGAGATGCCTTCAGGCTGTATCAGGCTAGTTTTAAAAGAGAATACTTTTAAGTCACAATATCCTTCACCGTAGAGTCAGCTGAATTTGACAACACACAATACAATAAATATATGCAATTTGCACAAAATGTGTTTTCATCAGAGATCTGATTTGTTGAAAAGTGCGGCTCAGCAAAAAAACCTGCTGTGGTTTAAGAGCTAAGTGATTAATTGTCGAGGAAATCAGAACAAGAGCTGAAGACGGTCGTGTAATCGGACTACAGTGATGTAGGATTAAGCACATTGAGTGACTGAAAAATGTGCTCTGGTGAGCGAGACTGGGTGAGGATTAGATTAGGATTTAGAGCAATAGGTTAGAGGCTGACTGGTACGACACTTCTCCTGTACTTGGCAATATTGTGTGAAAGCTGCACACACAAAGAGGAAGAGACACAGACAGAGGACAGGGAGGTCTTAAAACCTTTTAACACACAGCAGCTCACCGATGGGCCATTCATTACAGACTCATTCTGTGCAACCGTTGTTCAAACACACAACTCTTTTAAATTACCAAAAACCTACAGAGTGAATTTTGGGGTAATGTGTAAAAAATTGGTAAAACATAAAGAAATCTAAAAACATGGAATCTTGGGTTTGTGTGTTCAGCTCAGCTTAAACATTTGACTCCAATCAAGTGAAGAAAATGTGAAGAAACCAGCAGCAGCCAGTTAGCTCAGCTTACCACAAAGACTGGAAACTGTGAGAAACAGCTAGCTGGACCGTGTCAAAAAGTAATAAAACCCAGCACCTCTAAAGCTCATTTCTGAATTACACGCAAGGTTCTGGAGAGTGGACTTTGTTACTTTTGGACAAAGCTGGTTCCCTGCCTTTTTAAGGGAAAAGGGAACAAGAAAGAAAGAAGGAATGAAGTCCCTGCACTTGACAGAATTTCACAAAGCCACTTCTTCACACTTTTCCACGGGCCTGGTACATCTGCACAAACAGCCAAAGCGTAAAAAATACTTGGCTGGACGACTTCTCTCCCACTGCCACCCTGAAATCACTGTGTCCAATGAGATCACTGCTTTCAGTGTCTGGCACTTCATTCAGAGCTAATACTAAAACCATCTGAACGTGCCTCGAGTCACAAAGACTAGTGGTGGCTGAGGAACCATGAGATTCACCTCACGCAGACACACACACACACACACACACAGACACACACACACACTGCAGTTGCCATGGTGAGATGTAAAGAGGTGCCATGTTGAAAGGAAGAGCGGAGCGAGGGAGTTGCAGTGGAAACAGAGAATCCAGTGTTCGTGCTCTCGCTCTCTCTTGTTTTTCGATCAATCAGCCAGCCAGGCAGTAAGTGTTATGCCAACTCCATCTCTGGGAAAACCGAGGTGGAATGAACTTGAATGCTTCACAGTTTGTGAACGAGATAGACATGCTCCACCAGTTAAAACTGATTACAACTGATTCGAATTTCATTTAAAGGTTCACAGTGCCAATTTGTTCCCTGTTGAGACTTAGATGCAGCATCCTGTTAGCAGCTGGCAGTCTTTTACAAGATTACAAGAGCAAAAGGGAACATGAAGAGATTACAAGGGCAAGACGAGCATATTGAATGCACACTCGCCTGCTAAGCAATTTCCGTCTTCATAATGGTGTGAAAACAGCTCTTCACCTCTGGCATCACGCGCAGCATGTCACCAAGTTGACGTGTTATACCTGAAGTCACTGTGATTGGTTAGATTCCCATCAGCCTTTTCACCGAACCAGCAAGACGCAGTTGGAATCATGGATAAGTGTCCTACACGCTGTTGTTGGATGGAGACACAATAGTCTTACTTTGTGACAATGCACATCCACACACTGTTTGTACTAAAACCACCATATTCAGTCAGCACTCAAGTTAAGGTCCCAGTTAATGCATGAGGCACCACTACAACATGTAATCTAATTTACCACCAATATGATTGGTCAACCTGCAACATCCGCCCATTACATCCATGCCTATATTATTCTTCCTCACCGTGTGTGACAGTGTGTGTGTGTGTGTGTGTGTGTGTGCGTGCGTGCAAATAAAAAGGAGTCAGGGAGATGCTGATGATCTGATCTATTGTGACTTATCCTGAGCTTTCTGGGGCTGCAGGGCAGATGGACCTCACAGTATGCACCCACTCTGGATTACATCCATATTACGTGGCTATCAAGGACAATCTGTTTCTATATGTTGTTGTGTAAAGACGTATTGGTTTTACTGAGAGCTGAAATGATTAGTTAATTTTTGATTAATTAATTACCTGATTAAGAGCTGATTTTTCAGCTTTTTTTCATCCCCCTTGGGCTTTAACAATTTTGATGTCCATTTACCCAATTTTCTGGTATTTTATAAGCAGAACATTAAATTGAAAAATCTAGAGGATAACTTGAGATAAGCCTTTATGTATTTAAATGTTCCATTGTCTGTGTTGTGGTTTACTTTTATTGGTTGGTCCATTCTGTTTAAGGGTCATGGAGAAAAAAGCAAACATCTTCTGACGCTTCATATTCAACCCAGATGGCCAGAAAAGTGAATTCTATTTAATGAAACACATATGTCGACAGCCACGTGGTCGCTGGGATTTAAAGCATGACAGACAGGACGACTGGCGTATTTTTACCGGTCAATATGTCACTGTATTTACGCCTGGTTACACATTGAGGGCGCGAGATGCGTCGAGAGGGGGGGGCGCTACAGTGGGAGCGCGTGCCCAAGTGAACCCCGGCGACCCTCCGCGTGCACGATCCACCCTGTTGCTGGGCAGCGGCAGTAGCGATATTTTTTCATTTCCTAAATTTGCCACTTTTCCACAATATTTTCTGCGCGTGAGCGCGCGTGTGTACGTGTGCGAGACACAGCAGAGACTGGTTGTGTCCGATTTTCGTTTCCACACTGCCTGCCTCCTTGTCTCAAGGGATGGACAGTAAATGAGAAGGCGGAGGGGGGAGAGGTGTAGCGGGCCCGGTTGTCTCGGGCTTCCCCTGAATGTCTGGAGGAATTCAATCCTTTCAGCGACGTGAATAAGCCTCCTGGAGCCGGGCCACGGTGCACCTAATCCCGCCTTTGTCTGGGCCACGCACCGCCGCTGCGAGTCGAAGCTGCAGTACTGAACTGTCAAACGTCTCTCTCTCTCTCTCTTTGATCAACCACAGTCCTGTCGTTCTTCTTTATACATAATAATATATATGCTCCAGACAATAGCATCTGTTCCAGATATTAGCCTAACATTTACAACAAGTCAGTTACCTGTGTATCACAGGAGGGTGAGGTTTTCTTTTCTCCCATGGGCATGAGCTTGAATGGATCATGGCCACAGCCTGCGGTTCAAGTGTCATTAACTATCAATACAGCCACTCTCACCATGACAGGAAATATGTGGGCAGAAAATATCAAATCATACAGTTGGATTTGTCAGCACATCTAGGGATTGGTTGACAGTCTTTTGAATGCAATTGTAAAGCAACAAAATGAGCCCAATGACATTATTAATAGCCAACTGCAATTGATTAGCAATGCAGTTAAAATAAACTATCCGTGTCCATACAGCACAGAATTCAAAGCCAGCCCATCAATAGACCCGGCGTGCTAGACTCAAAGACTCAGTGATGACAATGAAAAGATGATTGAATAGCGAGCCCATTAACCACCAATCCACACATTTTAAGTGGCTATTGCATCCCATATGCATAATTAAATGGACAGTTGTCATTTTCCATATCATATGACAATGCAGGTGTGATTTGAATCACGCACGTGCGCGCTTGCTTACACAAACGCACGGACAGGGTGGGACTCCATTAGTGCAGTGGACTTACCGTGAGCAGACAGGGGGATGATGACCATTGAGATGGTCAGGAGCACCTGCCAGGTGCCCAAACGACTGTCACCGCGCGCCATACTGTTTGTTGGCTTTCTCTTTTTGATTCACTGGTGCAATATGTGATCCCGTTCCTCGTTATACCGGTCAGATTGCACGGGGCTGCGCCTATAATCCTCACAGCGAAACCTCCAAAGTTCAGATCTTACCCGTTTTAGCCATTTCTCCGTTAACCTCCCCAACGGTTGGTCTCCCTCACAGCAGCTGTGTCTGTGTGTGTGTGTGTGTGTGTGTGTGTCTCTCTCTCTCTCTCTCTCTCTCTCTCTCTAAACCGTTTAACGGCTTGGGTTCGGTTCCATTGAACCGTGCGGCTGCCCTCTCCTCCACACCTTTGGCGCGCGCGCGCGTCACTCTGCGCTTTGGGGTCTGTCGGCAGCACTAGTAGCACCGCGGGGAGCTGTAGTAGTAGTGCGCGCGACCGGCGGAGTGTCTGCAGACGAGATTTTAATGAGCCGGGTTTTCCGCTGCCTGCCTGTCTGTGTGCGATCCGTTAAGCCTTTCCCTCTGGCTGCACAGGCGACGAGCGGCAAAGCGCGGGTGCAGAACGGCAAGGCACGTTTTGTGCGCACAGTGATTTTGCGCGTCAAAGTGCCAGCATACATACATACACACACACACACACACACACACACCCGAGTAAATGCAAGCCAGTGTCCAGCCTCAGCCTGCTGTTGCTGATGTGGGGCTGAATGGGGGAGTTAAGCACCGTCTGTTGTCACTGGAAGTCAATATGCTCCATTTCCACCACAGCTAATGTGTGTGTGAACATCATGTCTCTCTGTCGCTGGGTGGTGGTTAGCTTGTGAGGGGGTTATTGGGTGCACGTTGCCTTTGGTCAGAGGTGTGTGTGTGTGTGTGTGTGCACGCACAATGGGTGGATAATCCTCTTACTGTTATATTGTGATATATGCTCCAGACAATAGCATCTGACAATAGCATCTGCTGCTGTATCATCCCGTCGCCAACACCCTGACCACTAAAAAAGTCCCCCCTTTACACTTGCCCTCATACAGTTTAATACGCTGACTCTCAATTTCCATTATATTCCTCCTCTCCCCTTCACACAAACACCACTTTTCACACTGCCTTTGCACCACTTGAGTTCTCTCTTTCTCTAAGTACCATAATGGAATTGGTTCCAAATACATTTATGTAATAACTGCTCTGTGACACTAATCCATTTTCCTATTTCTCTGTCTCCTTTACTGTCACAAACAGCTAACAAAACAGCCTGTGGAGGGCTGACTACCCAGCCTCCTCCTAAATGGGATTATGTCAAATACATTATGAAATAATTAAGACCAAATGCTGTTCATAGTTGGGGGAAATGCAGTTTTTCTCATTAGTAAATTGATCTTAGCCCCTGCTGTCTGCAGCGTCCCGCTGTCCTCCATCAATTATCATCCCCCAAAAAAACACCCAATCTAAACTGAGCCCTATATCTCAAATCCCAACTCTCAGCGATGGAAGACTGGGAGTTTGTACGAGAAGGACCTGGCAGAGTGACAGTGGGAGAGGTAGAGAAAGGGAAGAGAGAGTGTCTGTGGTGGGACTCACAGGGTGGACAGACATGGGTGAGTGTTCAAGAGAGAGAGTTGGAGAGTGGTGGAGATGGAGAAGCAGAAAAATGTTCACTGATGCACTGCCAAACAGAGCAGAACGAAATTGCTTCCGGCCCCCCCCCCTACACACACACACACACACACACACACACACACACACACACACACACATATCTGCTGCGATAGATACACAGGCAGGTAGATATCCTATAGCAGCTGAATTAATTCCAATGCTTTTTACAGGAAGGACAAACATACAGTATGTATGGGGACGAGACATGAGTGTTTTCTTGTGCAGGGTGAACAGATGGATCGAACTGAGAACCAGAATGGAAGAATATGCACACCTTAATCAACGCCAAGCTCTGTACGTGCATGTGTTTGTGCATGTTGTGCTCAGGCCACGTCTGGTTTTCCATCCTGTTCCTGTGTTGAACAGTGAGGGGTGGACAGGACGTCCAAATTCCCTCCGGTGCATTCCCTGCGTGTGTCAGAGAGTGTGTCCAGAGTTGCAGCGTCCACTCTGTAGGAAGAAGAAGAGGCTGCTTATTAAATTATATCCATAAAGCATACACGGCTAAGAATGAGCAGGTAGCAGCTGAGTGTCTATTCAGAGCAGTCTGGAATCTCACCTCTTCAATATGCAGTACGTTTAGCATATTTCTTTTTTGGATGTCAACAAACACCTCTAATCTTATATTGTCACAGAAAAATAGTTGTGTGTGTATGTATTTCAAATGTTAGCATGCTATAAATATGGAAAGAGTTCAGGACTATGTGAACACTTCCAGCTGTCTGAACATAAAAGAGAAATAAAAAAAACCTTGTATGACAAAATTCACTCAAACAGTACCACAGAAGTAGTCTCCTTGTGGTTAAAAAAAAAGGCTTGCAAGGGAGTAATGTTTTAGAAACAGATGCTTAGCTCTGTGTGGGACATTACATGGGGAGGGACTATGTGGAGGGTCATTGCCATGTGAGCCTCTTTAAAGGGCCCCTGGAGGCCGCGACGTCCTGTCCAGTGATACGATGGTTCTGACTCTGACTGGGTGGTTCTGTAGCTGAGGCTGGTTTGTTGGAGACCTGGAGTCTCTCTCTTTTTTCCCTGCTTGGAGAGCCCTCCATATTTGCTTTTCCTACCCACATCTCTGTTTCAAGGCAATATTTTATCCTTCTCTTCATTTTTCTTAGCTGGACTAATAATTGGACCTTAAATCCTGTCTTCATTTTAACTCCCACGACATTAAATAAACCAGAAGCTTATACTGTGTGACTAAGCATAAGATTCACATTGTGACATGATAATAGAGGGGTGTCCGTCTGCTGCATGGATACAGAAAATAAACTCAAGGTGCTTTGAGAAAGGAAGCAGTGCTGCCACTAGGTGATGACAAAGCTTATGAGTGTTTAACAGCAATGTGCAGTTGGGCATCTTACCTTTTCTGCTGCAGTGGCAAGGCTAACACACCCTGTGTCATTTGTTGTGTAAATATTGTGATACACACAAGTATATTTTACAGACCATGGATATAAAGCAGAGCACTGTGGACAAATAGAGTCTGCTGATTACGTTATGTGAAGTGGTAGTTATTCCACTATATGAGGCGTCACTGGAGTATTATAAGCACACTGTGACTGCCTGATAGGTACTATAATATAATCAGAGGATGATTAAATAAAACACCAAGTGGGTAATTGTTTTTTTGTTTTATTCTTTCTGAATTTTAATTCTTGTTAAAATTGGATTTACCATTAAATTGTTGCAAGGAAACGGTTCAAGCTGTGGCGAATCTGACAATATTGTTTTTACAAATAGGGCATAATGAACAACAGAACTTTTAGTCAACATTGGCTAAAAGATGCCATTCAAGGGAGGTGATTATTTTTCATCTTGAATGAGTAAGAATGAAACTGAAAGAGTCATTTGTTTTTCATGTGTAATGTGTTTGCCACCAAGGTACATACGTTACATAATATAAGCTTAGCACATTGTACAAGAAATATAACTTTAAATATATCAAAATAAATATGTTGATTGTACAGAACAAATGTATACTATATGCGTTAAAAAAAAAACCTGCAAACTTCCCGATATGCTCATAACATTGGATAACAACATGTTGAAACACGCGGCACACGCCTTCTGACAGCGGTGCAGGAAGGGTTGAAACATATAAAACTGGAACCAAATGAAAAGCTTCAGATTGAAACTGAACGATACAACTGTTGTCTGTTTACTGCTGAGAAGAGAGAAATAAGACATCGAGGATGAATTTGAATCTGGATTTTGATGGGTAAGTAATTTTACCTTCAGCTAGTTAATAGGGATCTGTTTGTATATCATTAATAGGTGGGTTGCCAATAAAACTGTGCTTACTTTGGACATGTAAAAAAACAAAGTAATTAGCAATTGTTACATCATTTTAGTGTTAATGTTATTTTATGGTGTCTGTCAGGCTGCACATGGATCACAGTGGTCCGTTGCTAAGCTCAGAATTACACCGCTAACATGCTGATGTAGCAGGTATAATATTTAACGTGCCATGCTCAATGTCTTAGTATACTAACTTTTGCTGATTAATACAAAACACAACATACAGTTGAAGCTGATGTGAATGTTAGCAGTTTTTCAGGATTTCAGTCATACACGAATGATGGATGAAAAGTCAGAGGATCACCAAACTTATTGTGATTCTTTTTTAATTCATTCTTTTAGGAAAGGATGTTCTTTGAAAGTTGCAGTCACTGTTACCCCCACTGGTTTACTGTCAATAGCTCTTGTAGCAGTGGCAGGGGCAGTGGCAGGGGCAGTGGTAGCAGTGGCAGGGGCAGTGGCAGCAGCGGCACTGGCAGTGGTAGCAGTGGCAGGGGCAGTGGTAGCAGTGGCAGGGGCAGTGGCAGCAGCGGCAGCAGATTGGAATTCTTCAGGTAATGAGTCAACAATCTCTCCAAAAGCTTGTTTTGTCTGAGAAATGAATAAACTGCAAAATATTTAAATGTTAGAGCATGTTACACTTCCATAATATCAGCTTCAAATGCCAATAATTGTTTGTTTTTTCTTTGTAGAAAATGATAAGAAACAAAAATGCTGCAGCGCTGGAAGCAGGACAACTGGAGAAGACAGTAGCTGTGCAATGAGATAATAAGCTAATGGGAAAAAATAATTACATTATTACAAATACATGTAGTGTATTTATGAAAAATAATTAAATGATAAAACAGCTATAACTTTGTGATTCTGTCTGGGCCAGTAGAGAAGGCTTTGCTGGCCCTGACGGCCCACTACTGGTATAATGTTGTCTAGAGGGCTTATTAATCAGTGTGATGTACTTGCATACCCCCAAACTAGTCTGCTAACTTTGTAGCATAAAAAACATGCTCTACCCAACAGCTTGACAATAGTTAAATCTGTTTCTGTGATACTACTGTTAGAGAGAGATAAGATATGGAGGATGGCTTTGGCTGTGTATGCAATTTTCCCTTCAACTACATGTGATGGTCTAAAGGACCCTGTATGCTCTTTATGCTGAAAAATAAAGTGTTGTCTGCATAGATTTAAGTGTGAGGATATCTATTCTACCAGTTTGAGCGCTTTGATACTTCCAGCACCTTTAAGATAAAGCCGGGTGAAGCGGTGGTTGCCCTGCATTTACAATATCTTTTTATGAAAGAGGTAAATGTATTACCCCTGCTTTTTTCAACAACAGTTATTTTCATAGCCTATGACATTTATAAACTCATCTTTAATTAATTACTTTTCCTGTTTTCTCAGAGATATTACACACACAGTCGTGTTTTCATGACTTTTGGAGACATTACACTGACTTAAATTCATTTTGTGGAGGCTTACCCCAACCCTGCTGCTACCAGCCTAATTCTAACCCTTACTTTAACCTTAACCTAAACATTAGCAGTTGGGCTACTGTACAAGCGCTACAGGTAATGATTCAACAATCTCTCCAAAAGAAGCTTGTTTTGTTTGAGAAATGAATAAACTGCAAAATATTTAAATGTTAGATTTAA